TATCGATTTTAAGACATTTGTGAGCAACTGTTAAATCATAATCTTTCCATTCGTATTTGAAAATCCTTCCAAAGCCAACACTTTTAGGCTTTTAATAATCAAAATCTTCCTTTCTCCTGTAAAACTTTTCCAGCTTAATCATTTCTTTCTGCTTCAATTTCTCCCTAGTTTCCTGCAAAATTACACCAAGTCAGTTGCTAATAAAATCATTATTAGTATGTTCAAATAACTGTACTTTATTTGTAGAAAATAACTTAAATAGTAAATTTTATGCTAAGAAAATTTCACAATATTTTCTTTTTTCCCTTAGAAAATTTACTTGATTGTTTTGTTGATTTCTAATTTTTACTCTTTAAACTATTATAATTTTTAGCAATTATAAATACTTAACGAACATTTAAAGTATGGTTAATTTTATCCTGAATCCATTTTTTCTCAAACTTTTCAACTAGACCATTAAAATTAATTTTTATTTGAAAGCTCTGTGAATAATAATAAGGCTCCTTTTTTAATTAGATATAGAAGGCATTGTAATAATTTACCGTTGCCAATTATTTTATAATTTAATGTTTTTAATTAAATTAAATTTAAATTATAATGCCTAAATATTTATATTTTATCCTAAAAGGTATATGAAGATGATTCACGATTACAAGTTTAAAATTTAAAATCTGTTTTTCAAAACTTGAAATACTTAAATTCATAATTAAAAGATTTATAAAATCATCACTAAGCCGTTTTTCGTAATTTTGAATCATGTCCATAGCATGATTATTAATAATTTGCCAAAAAATATTTTAATAATGAAATTTCTTAGCAATCCAAGTAAGACAAATGCAATTGAATTAATCAAATTACATTTTTGAAAACGTGCTTTACAATGCTAGAATGCTAGATTATGAGTTAGGAAGTTGATTTAACTTCTTTAGTGTAACTTTGATTCTAGCGTAAAAATACAAGGCTTCTTTAAAATTTAAAATTTTAGGAAAGTTATGCTTAATAGCAAAACTGATATAAAATCGATTCAGATGCTTCTGCTAATTTCAATTCAATTCAAAATGAATAAAACTCATTTTGTATAATAATTAGCATTTGAATTATAATATTATAAAAAGTATAAATAAATGACTCTTCAGAAAATTATAAAGTAATCCCATTTTTTGTGCAAAAATTAATGGAAGCTTCCAAATTACCATCTACAGCTCTTCTAAGCCAATATTCTCCTTTCTTTTTGTCGGCATCAACGTACTTACCATTATAATATAACAATACTAAATTATGCATCGCAACTGTATAATTTTGTTCAGCTGCTTTTTTTATCGCCGTGTATGGATCTTTTTTATAAATGCATGAAGCGTACGTAGATTGTGCATCCAGAATATTTGCACCATCAGCAGCTTCTTTAAATGCATCAGCAGCTTCTTTAAATGCATCAGCAGCAAGCTGCATTCTTTCATCATCAGAGTATGGAAAGTTAATTAATTTATGAAAAAGATAATTTCCTTTCCAATATTTTTCAGTAAAATCATTATCCCTTTCTGAATATTTAGCAATTGTTTTCCAAGCTCTTTCTTTAGAATCTTTAGAACTACTTTTAAGATTTGTAAGCTCAACTGCTTCTTCAAATGATAACATCGGTAGATCACTATCTGATTCTGACGCATTGAGAACGGTTGTTTTAATCGATCTATTTATGATTCTAATTTTCCAAAGTATTTCATTCATTTCTGGACGGTCTCTGGCTCTGTATTGAGTAGCTTAGAAAAATTATATATAAGTTAATAACATTGAATGAAATTGCGAAATATGCCCGAATTAAAATTAAATTAACAGTACTCTCATAGACAAGACTTTTCCATTGTTTTGGTACATCATGATTTGAAAATTTTAGATTCATCGCTCTGTCTAATATTAATTGTTATTGCGAGTGCAGAAAGCCCAGTTTCAGAAAAAGGAAGCTTTTGTTCTGCAAGTTCCCATAAAAGCATTCCGAAGCTATAAAGTCATTTAAATAAGTTAGGTTTTATAATATTAAATATTGAGAATAATTAATTACCTGAACACTTCGTATTTTGAATTATATAGTATCTTGTTATCTTTAATCTTTTCAGGAGCCATGTATCGAATGATTTCCATGAAGGAAGGTTCTTTGAAATCACGACTCCATTCGAAATTTGTAATTTTTGCAATTTCAAGATAATCAACTAATACATTTTCACTTCGAACATCGTGATGAAATATTTTATACGCATTAAGGTAATTTAATCCACGTGCAATTTCCAAAGCAAGTCTCGCTCTGATAGTGATATCAGGGCTTTTCATTTCATAATATTCGCGCAGTGTTCCATATTCAGCCCATTCAGTAACGAGAAATTGCTGAGAATTAATTGTAACAAGGCCGATGTATTGAATAATATCTTGTGATCCATTAATAGTTTTCAAAATTCCAACTTGAAGATCAAGCCTATCTGACTTTTTTATTTTAAATTCTAATCCCTTAAGCGCTACATACTCACCAAAAAGGCTTGTAATGCCATTTTCGAACTCTGCCACGAGCTTGTGTTTCTTCATCAATAATAAAATCATTAGGATTAAGAAGCTTGTCATATGCATCTTTATTTCGTATGAAATTTTCAACATTCTTCATATGCATGCTAATTTTTTGTAGTAACTCACTGTCACTTAATTTGATCTCTTTGATTTTATTTATTTGTTCTTTGTTAGTACTTTCTATAATCGATCGTAGATACTGTTTTAAAAATATATATTTTTTAATTTACTTTATATATAAATCATGGGAGCACTATAGTGCCACGGCACTAGGGCGTTATAGCCAATCAAAATTTAAGATCAGGTGTAACGTATAGATCGGCTTTGTGTAACAAAGACAAAGAATTTTTTAAAAAATCAATTATATCTCAAAATTTTGTCTATAAAACCACCTTTTGGGCTCTAACAAAAAAAATTCCTTGCAAAATTTTACTTTAGATTTTGTCTTCAAAATCCCACCCTTACCTAATATTAAAAAAAACAAGTTTTTACTATAAACAAATCGATTTACATATACGATCTGATAATTACATATAAGATAGTGCCATGGCACTATAGTGCCGCAAAAGTATTTCCATAAATCATAATACAAAGCATGAATATTTACCTCTTTCATCTCATCAGTGTCTTTATTTATTAAGTCAATGTTTTTTTGCTAATATTTCAATGGGTATTGAAAATTTTAATAATTTCATATATTCATCGAAGTCATTTATAAGTCCATAAAATTCATTTTTTATAAAATTTTGTTCAAAAAATAATCGGTAATTGTGGATATCTTGATGAATTCTTCAAATTTTCTCATTACATATTTAAAATTCATTCGCACAAATTTCTAACCTGATTATTGACGCACGGGCTGTCTGTATTCTGATCATTAGCACACCACAAATTCGTCTACTATACTTTACATTTTGGTAAAATTCTGCGAGTTTATCAGCAACTTCTATTATTTCTCTTAACAAAGGAATGAATTTGCTAGCTGGAACATTATAGTTATTCCGAACGGGCCACTAAACACTACTATGATAAATATCTGTAGTGACTTCCAATAAGAATATTAATTTATACATATGTTATCGTTGTACGTAAGTACGTACGTATGGTATCAATTTTTCTTTTAAGGTTTCATTCAGCCATTTTCCTAAAATAATATTAATAACATTGGAGGTGTATTATAAATGAATATTTTTCTATTTCATTTGAGGCCCTCAAATTTCTGTAAACAAAATTTTATTCCTGATGCTTTTAATAAAAATAAAAAAAATTGTAATTTGTCTTTTGTGAGTCTATACCGATCCTCGTGTGTTTTTTTTATATAGAAGCACTAACAGATGCTAGTAATATTTAGTATTTAATTTTGTAAAAGATTTTAATTTTTAATTAAGATAATTAAGAAGTTTTATACTTATTTAACCAAATATTTGGCTTTTAAGTTTAAATAATAAACATGGTTCGACTGATAATATGACGCGAAACTTTTTTTGGATTCGAATATCCTATGAATGTCCAACATTGACTTGAACATTTTAAGTGCTGATTTCATGATTTTCATTATTTAGAACTTTAAAATGCTATGTCGTCTTGAAAAAGCTATTACCGAAGGATATATTAGTAATCTTGAATATAATAAATTTACAGACTTTATAATTATTTGCAGTGGTGGCTTTGGAAGGATTTTCAAATACGAATGGAAAGATTATGATTTAACAGTTGCTCACAAATGTCTTAAAATCGATA